TGGAGTCAGAGAGCATATATAGATCTCATGGTACTTAATGACAGATTGGTTTCTACTTGGATTTTCTGTTGCCTGCAATTTGTTTTTACAGAATTCACAGCTATACGCACGCATATATACATATATACGCATGTGTCTGTATGTGTACAAATGTATATGTCCAAAGAGATTGTTCCAAAAATAACCCTCTCTGCCATTAAAATCTCGAAAATGCAAGTGGTCATTGTTACAATAACTCGTTTAAAAAAATAAATCAAAATCGATTTAAATTAAAATTTAATAACGAAGTAACTAGAAAATAACTAATACTCTTTAATAAAAATCGAATACTAACCTTCAATAAAGTCCGCAATAAACTGAAAACGGATATAAAAAGTTGATTGATATATGGTTTCTATAAAAATCCAATCTAAAAATAGCGGAACTAACTGTAATGGAAAACATGAAATATCTACCCTATATTCTCAACATATAATATGTTGGAGGAAAACAAATATGATACGTATATACACAAATCTATACATACATATGTAAGCGTTTGACTTCCCAAGCTCGACTCTGTCTCCTCTACAGATCTTCTCATGTGAAAACGTGATAAACATATATATCTACACATGCATACATACACAAATACACGCACACACACACGTATACATACTCATCCTAGCTAGGGTTCATATGAATTCAGAAATATTTGGAAAACACACACCTTTTTAAATTAGAATATTAATTGAATGTTATTTGATTTCATCGAAGCCGCATCAAAAAAAAATATTCTAGTATGTATATATTTTTAATTAAGGTATATATATATCTATATATAAAACATGATAAGACTAATTTTTATCAATTAATGAGCTAACCAACTGCATTCAGAATACCACTACAAAAAAAAAAACCTAACATTTGGTAGAAATATAAAGTAAATACGTACGGCATTAACATTTTATGCATGCATGCATGCATGTACCCACATTCACCTATAAATGTTTAGTTTTCTACCGAAGTTAGATGGTTCGTAGGGTTTTTTTAAAAAAAATATTGGTTACAATTCAAATATTTGGTCCGACCAAATTCCGACCCTATAATAATCACGCCATCACAAATTTGTTCTTTTTAACAACATCAATCAGTTCATTGGTCAGTTTGGTCTTTTCATGAATACCTGTTCTAGTCTATATATATCAATATATATTCAGATATTCTGATATATCATATCACGACCGATAAGAAAAAGAAAAAGAAATAATTTTCTCTCATGAACAATTAGGCCTACCAAAGATTTCGTTTATGTAAAAAGTTAACTTCTGTATGCTATTTAGATAATACCTTTATATCTTGTGAAATTTTCAATATAGACAAAACAAAAATTATTAAAAGAACTCATGTTTTTAAACCGGGATTAATTACCGCTAGAGATCATAAGTACATAATATATAATATAGCTTGTTTTTTTTCCACTCATAACCCAAACAATAAACAATAAAAACAATAATCAGTAGAATATGAGTTTATATATATATATATATCACATTTTTGTGATTATGTATATATATGTCTTCTTGTAATTAATTTGTATTATTCTTTTTTTGATAATGGTTAATAGCCAAGATGTGATCGAACCTAGGTGGGGAGAATTTGTATTATTCTTATCTTCACAATCGTGACGCCAACGAAATTGTACAGCATCTCATCAATTAACGTATTTTAGAACGCACAACATCGTATATATTATAAAAGATTTTTTTTCCTCTGGTTCATATATATATATATATATAATATTTTTTATAATGGGCTATTTTATTGTTCATGTTCTTTGCTTTTTTTTTTCTTGTCCTTTTGGATTTATGAAATTCAAAAGTTAAGTCCTTGTATATGCCGTCTTCTTGCGCAGACATGCTCGTGAACCTTTTATTTTTATTTTTATTTTCTTCTATCCTTTCCCGTGAACCCCATGCCTTTGCCTGCATCCGTAATTACCCTTCTGCCCTTTTGTATCGAACATTCTCGCCAAATTTGCCAATGGACCTATATTTATTTACATTTATATTTTCATTTGATCGAAATTAACCGTTTTGTATTTCTAAAAAAGGTTAGAAACCACGTATATGTAATAGCACGTAGCTATTATTTATTAAACGAGATTGAAATGTTTGTGTGTCGTGTTTTTTTTTTTGGATCATTTACCCCAAAAAAAAAATGTGTTGGATCATTTATTTTCTTTTTAATATTCAAATTTAATATACACTTTTCCTTGTATATTTCGGAATTTATGCACTTTTGCCTTTTGCTGTCCTTTTTACGATGGACACGCGTAGATAACATCAAAGATATGGGTCGTAATATGAAATAAAATAATATTTTATTTATTTATTTCGAACGAATTTTCCAAGTCCAACGAGGAGTTTGTCCACTAGTGTGTGTCCACCATGACCACGAGAAATGTTGATTATGAGTTTGAACTTTGAAATAATTAAGCCATTAACCAATTACAAATGCACTAATTAGTAATTAGTTAATGTTGTATCATCCAATAAGCAACGTGCTCGCGTGCATAATCTTTGTGAGAGTGAGTGTAAGTAAATGTATGTATACACACACACACACACATATATATATATATATATATATATATATATATATATATATATATAAAAATAGTCGTATACTATATAGTTGGAAAGATTGATACTTAATTTCTTCATTATTACTAGATGGAATTAATTAGATTCGAGCTGGCATAATTAATATGCTTAATTAATTTGATTCGGATTTATTTAAGGGCTTTTTTTGTGTAATGCCGACAAGCAACAGCTATTATCGTGACTAAATTATATATGCCCAATATGCAGACAAATCTCTGATTATGTCTCATTATTTATTAGCCCAATCGTCAATTATATCTTCCATTGAGATTTCGGTATGATGTACACATGTGTATATATATATATATGTTATATCATATATGTCCCGTATTACTTATACGTATATATGTGTGTGTATAGAGAGAGAGATGTACGTAGAAGCATAGAGCATTAACAGGATGCATGCGTACGTGGACTTGTGATCTCATGCAAAATCTTAAGGTAATAAATTAGGCCATTAACGCGCATCAGGGCCCACCATGTCAGCATATATATGCACATATAGATATATATACACACATGTTCGAATTGCCTGATCAGTTATGGCATATATACACGCCACACACATATTATATATATTCATATTAAAGCTATTTTGTTGTTATATAAACAAATGCAGGCAATTTAATTTTCAGCTCATTATATATGTTGCACCACATTATGATATGAATATATATATACATGCATTCATATCATAGTGTGTGTGTGTATATATACAGAATGTGAAGCCAAAGGTGATAAATGTTAGAATTTGTGTGGTGTTGGCCGCGTTTGGAGCTGTGGTTGTTGTGCATGTGAATATCCAGACGAGATTGGACCGTCTCTTAATTAGACAAAACACACACACACATATATATATGTATATATACATAAATATATATATATATATATATATATATATAGAATGACAGATTGATTCATTTACTGTTTATGTTTCTTCGTAAATTTTAGAAAGACAAAACCCTTTGTGGGCTGTATCTCCTTTTTCTCTTTTCTTTTGTCGTAACCATTTCGTTCTTAGCACACTGAATCATGCGCAGCAGTGTCCTACAAAAAATTTACACAGATATACGCACATTTTATGTATGTGTATATATATATGTGTACGTAACGCTCACATAAGGCCAATGTCACATGCATGTATATATATGTCATCCACAACCAACGGTTTATATAAATCTCATCTCTTATTGTGCCTATATATAATGTCATGCTGTTTTATCATAAATATTCCCCAGTTTTATTATATATATATATAATAATAATAATTTATAGACGATATTTTAATGAATGTAGACATACATATCCACCTGGTCTGTAGCAATTGTATAAAAGTTATAAACCTCAAAATGGGCCAAGACGAAAGAGCCGTAGACAAACTCCGGTTAAGTTTGGTTTGGTTTGGTTTGGATGTTCAACATTGGTAGTCGGTGGAGATGGACAATTTGGTTGCGGTATGAAAACCTAGTTGAATTAAACCAAATAATAGCTAACCATATATTCGAATTGAATTTTTATTTAAAGATGGAATGGATGTTTTCTAAAACTAAATTAATCAAATTCAAATGAAAATAAATAACAAAAACAACATCAAATTAGAAGTTGCACCAAGTTAGTTCAATGGCATTTGATATATATATGTATGTATATATATTTCTGCAACTTTATCATCACACATTCCCATATATAAACTTCATACAAACACAGTTTTCTTCTTTTTTTTTTAATATCTTCATCCATAATAATTTTGTTAAAAAAAAAAAAAAGAGTATGAAGACTGTATATATGGACCTTTTACCTTTTCGTTTTTCCCCCTTTTTTTAAAAAAGGCTTTTGGTAAATATTTTCTTCACAAAGTTTCACGAGAAGAAGACCTGAACGCTGGAGGTTTTCAAGGACTGGCAAACAGGGCAAACCCCTATAAACCCATCACAGTCTTTACACAAGCTTAAGTGCCTGCACGGTACCAGCAGAACCGACACCTCCTTCGCATTGCACCCCTTGCATCTCATCGCCCCCTCGGGATTTCTCCCCCGACCCTTTTGCGGAAACCCTCTCCCGGGGATTCCCACGATGCCCAGATAGTTGTTCGGGTCGATATACGAAGCAGCACTGTCTATCTCGCTGTCTCCAAACCCTTCTTTCCCTTGATCACCTGCCCCTGCATTTTCCCTTGGGACATTGCTTGCTGTAGATTTGTCTTAAGGACATTGACCACGGATTCGTTGTACTTTGCTCTGTAATGCCAGTTCTGTGCTTCCATGGCTATCTGCTTTATCCTCTCCACCAGTTCCCGGTTCTTCTTGTTCATGCTCTCGATCTCGAGGTCTTTCTCTTGGATCTTCTTGCTCACGCCTTTCTCTAGAGCAGATAGGAAAGAGGCCATGTGTCTCTGCTTCATGTCTCTCACGCCCTTGGCCATTTGATCCGCCTGTAATGAGACAAACTTAACATGTTTTTTAGCAAACAAACGTTACAGGACACCGACAACACCCATTGATTATGTATGTGACATTATACAGATTTTGGGAGCTAAATATACCGACAAGATGTAAAATTGTCAACTAAAACACCATTCAAGAGAAGTGTTCTGCTTTCAAAACCCAACAGAGGCAAAAGCTTCCAACTTGCAAATCCGGGGAGACAAGAAGAAAGAACCTTGAGAGGAGGATATATAAGCACTGGTATGAATTCAGCAAACCCATGTATACATGTATGTATGCAAGTATATGTATGTATGCCGAGAGAAATCCATACCTGGATTTTGATGAACTGATCAAACTCATCTTTCTGTCGGTCGAGATCCATCCTAATATTGTCACCGAGGGACTGAAAGATCGGAGGTGCAGCAGTCATGCTCCCGCTTGCAGAAGTGACAGAAGAGTTACGTTCATCGTCGTCATAAGACAACCTCAGACCAGTTGAAACCAGGTTCTGCTTCGGGATATTGGTAGCACCTCGGTCCACTTCCTCTTGAACATTATTGTTGTTGTAATTATAGTTCAACGATATCTGTAACTTTTGCTGTCTCTGTATATTGGTGTTGTTGTTGCTTTCAGATTCCCTTCCCCGTTTGCTGGGCCGGATCACGGGAGCGAGGTTTTCACCAGCGAAATAGTTTACTGGATCGACACTGCACCCGGCTGCCACTGAGATATGAAAAAAGATATTTTGTTCACGGTGACAATGAGAACAACTCTTGAAATCAGGACACAACTAGAATTCAGACTCACTGGTTCCGAGTAAGTGAAGCTGGTTAGACGGGTTTGTCTGGAACTGAAACTGGTTGTCGTTAACGAAAACCGGGTGCACAGGGTTGTCGTTGTTGCCTCCCAGCATCTTCACCCCCGAAGCTAATATTTGTGTGCGTATAAATACGTAACGGTAACTGTAAAGTATCTGATTTTCTGCAGAACTGTGATGTTCTCAGAAGCAGGAATCAACCTGTAGGAAGAAACAAAAGAAAAAGGAACTAGAGACTGTAAGAGAACTAAAATGATGGAACAATCGAAAAGCAAAGATTAAACAAAGATTGAGCATGGATTAGTCGTTAAATCAGGCTCCAGGGTCATGCATGAAACACCAAACCAAAGCGTCAAACAGAGAAACAAGACATAGTTTCAATGACTAGAATTCAGAACACGTGGTCAGAAAACAAGAAGAGAAAATGCTCAAGACGAGGGGTACAAGACTGAGATTCAGTGATCTCTACACTACTGAGACAATGCAGGAGGGGAGGAGAGAAGAACAAGCCAAAAAGTGGTGAACAAGGGCAAGGAAACACGATCAAAGATTCTAAGATCCGTGAGAACGAGGATTCAAGACAATGATCAAAGCCAGAAAGAACATATATACATATAAAAACCGACACGTGAGATGAACCTCAAGATTACCCAGATGAGAAGATGGAATATGGAAAGGCAAGAAGAGGGCAAGGAAGAGAAATATGATCACGAGAACCTAATCGACAAGAATTTTTTCATGATCAGGCAAATAAAAGCACGAAGATTCCAGAAACAAATCCAAAACAAGGCATTGGTTGATTCTGATCTCCTAGATTTGATCCGTCAAAGTTTAATCAAAATTTCCAAACCCAGAAGATGATCATCGAGATTCATAGATACGTAAAAATGCAAAAAATCTAAGATCATATCAGTAAGGCAAATCTATCTAAGATGGGAACATGACAAATCCAAGAACAACCCATTCACCAGAAACAGAAAACCTAAAGATGTTAGAATTCCAAAATATGTTTAAAAAAAAAAAAACATATACCTTTGAGAGATTGCAAAGATGATTCATCCCAAAAAAAACAACAATAGTTTCCTTCGGATCCTGTAAAATCATCAATCAACAACACTTGCGTATGCGTGCGTGTATATATATGACAAATACATCAAACCCAGAAGGAAAAAAAGAATCTTTCTCTGTAATAAACCCAAAAACAGGGGCAAATTCCAGAAAACTGCAATCTTTATTTGTGCGGAGAGAAATCAGAGGGACCAACCGGTGATTCAGGATCTGGAAAAGAAGATGCCTTGTTGAAATTAAACGCCCCGGAAAGACAACGCCAATAATTTAAAGGCTAAAAAAATTAAGAGGATACAAAAAAAAAACAGAAAAAAAAAAGAGAGAAGGGGACAGAGCAAAAGAAACGGATGAAACGAATGAATGATGAGGTGAGAAAATGAGGGAAAGCAGGTGCGGTGGAGCGAGACAGTGGTGAGGGAGTGGGGGAAGTTGGGGGGTCCAATGTGTAAACTTTTCAAAATTTCCAACCAAAATTAAATAAATTGAAATTAATAAATAGAATGGAAATATTTTAATAAACACCGAAACAAGAACCGGCGGTACTACTGATCTGGTGTCTTCCTTGTGAGTCGTGTCTCTCTGGTGAGGCATTATATCAAAAATACCCTTAATTTGCTATTTCTACTTCAAGACCTACCCTGGTCACATGTGACCAATGTGACCGAAATATAGTATGGTCACATTTTGATTTTTATCGATTATAACGTTAAATTTATGGTGATCACACTAATTCATTATGTTCATACCTTGTATATCTTACTAATCATTTGATTAAAATATCATAAATTTAACGTTATGAACAATGGGATCAATATGTGACCACACTATATTTCGGTCACATTGGTCACATGGTCACAAGGGTAGGACTTGAAGTAGATATAGCAAATTAAGGGTATTTTTGATAATGCCCCCTCTGGTGACGCCATTTGACACAACTTTTCTGCAATTTTCAGAAAAACCCCATATCGTATTATTATTTGTGGTAATGACTCCTCCTTTTTAAATTTTCATTTAAACCCATCCAGTCTTTTTGAGAGATAAATAGATTCATCATTCATTAACGTAACCCTTTGATTCAATGTTTTTGAAATGGAAATACTGGTTTTGGTACATGATTTTCTAAATAATTTAAATTTTAATGATAAACAACGTGCTAAAGGATTTAATTTATTCCTTCGAATTTAATTAGGTAAAATTCATTTAAATTCGAAAATTTGTCATGAATGTGATAATATTCTGATATCTCTTATGTTAAGTGAGTAAATGGTGTTTGATTTGACCAAAAAAAATGTAAAGAGGAATAAAGGGGTGATTTTGTAAAGAAATAATAATATTTGGGGTTCTCTTCTTTTTTTTTTCTTGCCCTAAACAATATTCTTCCTTTTTCGTGTGTTTAAAATTTTGTATTGAGGGAAAAAAAAAAAGGTCGGTAAAAACGATGTGGAGTGGACCCCTCAAACAGCAAGATGGCGAGCAGTTCTTTAATCTTTCTGGATTTCCGCACCAGACTGCACGTCTTTTACCCGTTACCATCTTCTCCTTTAATTTTCTTTTTTTGGTCATTAAATTCCTTTTTTATGATTTTAAAATATAAAAAAATAACCCACCGGTTATTTTTTTTCAAAATTATTTATTATTGGTCAAAAAATAATCAATTGCCCTTTCCCGTTTAAATTTAAGAGAAGAACTTAACCAAACTGTCAATCAAATATATAATTTTTTTCCATATACACAGACTCTTGCAAATTTCTATATAAATATATAAAAATTGAAAACAAATATATAATTGTTATATTTTTAATAAAATTGTGCAAAATTAATCTATACTATAAAAAATTTGGTGAAAATGGAATATATGTTAATTATTCCTTTATTAGTGATATTTGAAATTTTCATATATTGATATAAAAATTTAAACTATTTAACAAATTTATATAAAAAGTAATGCCATACATTTACATAGAAAGTTTTAACAATTTATATATTTATACAAATTTTTAACTAAATTTAAACAACCATAGCAATAGAAATAAGAAATATGTAACATTGCCCATTTCATATTTTGACCGTTTATGTATGTATGTACAGTATGTATGATGCATGCATGCATGTATGTATGTATGTATGTATGTATGTATGTATGTATGTATGTATGTATGTATGTATGTATGTATGTATGTATGTATGTATGTATGTATGTATGTATGTATGTATGTATGTATGTATGTATGTATGTATGTATGTATGTATGTATGTATGTATGTATGTATGTATGTATGTATGTATGTATGTATGTATGTATGTATGTATCATTTATAACCATTTCGCCATTTATTTCGAAACACGGATTCCTCGAAGAGGAATAATGGTTATTGGTCAACTGACCCCGTGGTAGTTACATCGATTCCGTTTATAATTCCCATAATTTGTTTGTATCAATTTTTTTTTTGTTTTTTTATCCGAAATAAATATTCTGTTTGACAAAAAAAAAATTAATAGGTAAATTGTACATACCCCTTTCATCAAAAACCAGGAAGGTTCGACGTTGGCGAAATTATTACAAAGGGGAAGAAAAGATGAACCAAGGGGTAGTTATGTCAATTCATAGTATCCCTAAGATTTTAAGAATTTATTTTATTTTCGCAAGAGAAAATAAAATTTAAAACGGACGGAGAATCACGGGGGCGTGACGGCGTGACCTGGACCGGACCCGGTTTAGGGGGAGCGGGGTCCACGAGCCGGAGAATTTGGCGGGTAAATTTTGGCGGGTGGAGGGGGAAGAAAGACCGCGCTGGAAACAGGGACCGGACCAATCGCCTCAACCCGCGTTTGTCGGAATAATTTTAATTAATTGATTAATTAATTAGTATTAGTATTAGTTGTAATTATCATGATATAAATTTAAACACAAATGAAGGAAAAGGATTATTTCTTTCCAGTGGTTGTAACTAAAACAATTGATTATAATTCCCGTTTTCCTGAAAGAAAGGGAGGATGAATCATCATCATGCATAATAATATGCCTTTGTTAATCAATTTAATATATATAACTGTTTTTTTCCATATTATATAATCCGGCTCTGTACTCAACAATACGTTAAATATTAATTTAGGATCGTGATTTCAATTTTATTTTATCGAATAACGTGAAAAATAATTCTTTTTGTTTTTTGTTGCTTTTGTTATGAATTAGGGTAACGAATTTGTTAGTAATATTAACTAATTATTAAGTAACTCTATAACACGTTGTAACCATAAAATGTATCACATATTTCTTCTATATACGAGATTTTTACGAAAATAAACCCTCTAATCTTTTCAAATTTCATCGTCGATTTATTTACAAGTTGACCATCCAAATGCCGACAAAGTTTTCTTTCACACATATGCACCATAAGATGGCTATAAAAGTCTATAATTCACGACAAAGAAAAGGTTATAAAAATTCATAGATATGGAAGGGACAATGGATAGTGATGATAAATATGAATGCGTGGGTGTGTTCAATTTGAATTGGAAAACACGTCTTTATATATATATATATAATAAGAAGAAACGTTCCATCAATACCTTCAAAATTCCACGAACCGACCCATGCATTATATGCCCCGTGATAATTGACCCCCCTTTTTTGTTATATGTGTATATATATGTATATTTTATTATTTGTTTGAATTTTTTTTACGTATTGTAGAAAACCATCACTTTACCTTTACGTAGTTTGCTGACAAATCAACTATAATTACGACTAAACTGTTATTTATACTGTTTGTTTGAACATCCAATAATATGGAGGAAAGTGACTTCTCGTGTTTTTTTTTTTTATAACAAACAAAAAAATGCCTACGTTAAGCCAAATTTAAGATAATTATATATTTTTAAGATGATCTATTATAAATGAATGAAAGTATTTTTTTAAAAAATAAAAAACTTGAATAATAAAATTTATATTATAATAGAACTCAAATCAGAATTCAAATTGAATATAATTTTGTAAAATTGGAAGAATTGAGCACGACATAAAATAAAAAAACCCAAATGACAAAAATATTTGGAGTTCTTGGAATTGAATTGTAAAGCATGGAGACCATCGAATATTTAGATCCACATGCTAATAATAAATCGGGCCATTATCAAAAATACTCTCCATTTGCTATTTTGACTTCAAGACATACATTTTTCCAACTGTAACCCTGTGACGATTCGAAATATAATCTTGGTCACATTGGTCATAACGTTAAATTTATGATGATCACACCCATTCATTATATTCATACCTTATATATCTCACTAATTATTTGATAAAAATATTAAAAATTTAATGTTATGATCAATGTGACCAAGATTATATTTCGAATCGTCACAGGGTTACAGTTGGAGAAATGTATGTCTTGAAGTCAAAATAGTAAATGGAGAGTATTTTTGATATAATGTCTAATAAAAGTGTTGTGGGAGTAAAAAAAAAACAATAATTAATTGCTTTTGTTTGTTCAATCACTATGTTGATCAAGATTTCCCACTACTGACAATTGCTTTTGACTTATTGAAGCTTAATAGCTTATGCACATTTAACAAAAGCATTAAGAAACAGTTGTCCGCACTTGCAATTAAAAACAATGTTTTGATTTATTAGAGATACATGCAACTTTTGTATTTATTCAAAATTCAAAAAACTGATATTTGCTATTTTATTTTTAAATTTTAATTTTTCATGGGCATGATCATATCAGTGTTTTGTCTACAACACCGTCCAACTTATATATATATATATATATATATATA